TATTTTTCTCTTGCTTTCTTTGTCTACTTGCTGAGAGTGGCTTTAACTTCTGGGCTGTTGTGCTGGAGTAGGGAAGAATTCTATTAGCATGTTAGAACAAGACGGAACTTTATTATTTCATTCAACCCTTCCATTTCACCAATAAGAAAGTGGAAGTGGAGGAAATGTATTTTCTTGAAGGCAGCTAGATTTTTTTTTTTTCTTTTGGCCCTGGCTGGTGGCCATAACCCGACCTTAGCTTCTTAGATGAACCCAGACAGCCCTCTGGCTTCCTCATGGGAGGGAGCTGGGCCATACATAATCAGAGCCTGTTTTCCTGTTTTCCCCCAGAATTAGCTCTGTGTTTTGCAAAGGCTCAGAGTTTTTACTTGGGTGTGCCCTCCTTTTCCTCCCATCTCCACCGTGATTCAGGCCCCTGCTGGCTCTTGCCCTCTTGCTCCTTTGCCCTCCCCTGGCTCTCTGGGAGAGTTCATCTTCCAGCCAGACTGCTGAGCTTCTAGAAAGCTCTAGGATAAGGGAGAAGGCCTAGCCTTTCCAGCTGGAGAGCAAGCAGGAGCCAAACTGGCTGGAGGCCTGACAGGCTGAATTGATAATAGTACTGTGTCTCTGAGGTAACACAGCCAGAAGAATGCCGGCCAAATGACCCCAGAGAGGGAGGCAGCTGCAGCAGAGAGCTGCCATCGCTGGAAGAGACGGGGGCACATCACACATGAGAGAAGAAGAGCTTCACACTGAGAATCACACACGCACACGATGCTTACAAATATGTGCACCCTACATATAAGCATACAAGAATAAATCAGAAAGGGAAACTGAGGCCCATAGGGAAAGGATAAATTAGCAGCTTGTCTTCATGTGGGCTTCTGCCATAAATTGCTCTATTTCAGGCTTCTGTCCTGCTAGCTCGTTGACAGGCAGAGCTACTTAAAATACCTGTCTCGCCTGTTGGCTTAGCCTGTCTCCAAGGATTGAGATAAATTCCTCCTTTAGCTATGTTACTGTGGTAAGCAGCACGTAGTTTATAAGCCTATGATGCCATCTGATCCCGCCATCAGTGCCTGCACACGTGGAAGGAAGGAGAAGAAGGCATGGGTGCCCCAGATTATCCCCATGAAGACTGAGGGAGGAGCAGGGCAACAAACCCTGGGCATTTTTAGTTGGTTTTGTTTTATAATACTATCTGCTCTCCTGAATATAAAAAGTAATATGTATCCAAGGTATAAAAGTTTAAACAGACTTGGTGCAAGTGGTTCATGCTTGTAATCTCAGCACTTAGGGAGGCCGGGGTGGGTGGATCATTTGAGGTCAGGAGTTTGAGACCAGCCTGGCCAACATGGTGAAATCCCGCCTCTACTAAAAATACAAAAATTAGCTGGGCATAGTGGCTTGTGCCTGTAATCCTAGCTACTCGGGAGGCTGAGGTGGGAGAATCGTTTGAGCCTGGGATGCAGAGGGTTGCAGTGAGCAGAGATTGTGGCACTGCACCCCAGAGTCTGGGCGAGAGAGTGAGAACCTGTCTCAAACAAACAAACAAACAAAAAGTTTAAACATAATAAAAAATAACAGAGAAGGAAAAAACAAGTTATCTATGATTCCACTACCCAGAGATATCAGGTTGAACTGTATGCAGTTGCTATTTTTATAGGTCAAAATGGGTGAATATCAGCAATTTCATGTTTTCACTTAATATATTGGTATATTTCCTTCCAAATACTTTACATTCCTTTAAATGGAAATATATACATATATATTCACACACACGTATATATTTGAGATTATAATGTATATGCAAGTATATGTGCAGTTTTTTTTCATAAAACATAATATAATCATTTCTCCATGCAATTAATTTTTTTTCTCTAAACAGTGTTTTTAATAGTTACATAATGTCCTGTCGTTTGGGAGTATCAAGGACATTTCCGCCGTCTCCAGCTACTTGTCCCATGGCCCAGGGAAAGAAAGAGACTTGTTTCTGGCACTCTCTTGACCAGGGAAGGGCTGGACCAGCTCCCAGCAGAGCTGGGGAGAAAGCTCTGGTGACAGGCGGCCGGAAGGCAGCTGGCCCTTGTCTCTTCTCAGGACATGTGCTGAGTGCAGGCAGAGGACAGGAGTGGAAAAGTTTGTCCCTGAGAGGCTGGGAAGAGTATAAAGAAGGGCATGCTCCCTGCCAGGGACCAAAATAGGGGTCTGGAGGGGAGTCAGGCTCTAGCAAGGGCCTTCTCTTGCCCAGAAAGGATTATTTTAAGTGCTCAGGTATTTCAGCCAGCGACAGGTCTCCAGTTTCTGTGGTAACTGAGCTGAGTCAGCTGGAGAAGCCCCATTTCTTCCCAAAGTGCTCTCTCTCTGCCTTAGCCTTCCCCATGATAAGCTTCAAGGTCAGACCAAGCCCTTCTTGGGGCTCGCTGCATGAGACAGAGACTGCTACCCTTTAGCATACTTCCCCACATCTTTGCCACTCAACTAGTTTCGAGTGGAAGTGAGAGGATGAAAGAAGGGAGAAAGAGAGAAAGGAGAGGAGGGACCCTTTCTGATGCTGATGCTGGGAATCAGTCAATAGCAAAGCCATGTTGCCTCTTTGTGCCTCAGCATTCTCCTCTGTAAATGGGGCTAATACTACTTATCACATAGGGTTATTGTGAGATTTAAGTAGGCTATTGCATTGAAACTACCAAGGACTCCTCTGCACATGGTTGTACTCCACTTACTATTGATGCTTTATTACCTACTCACTCTTCCACCCCTCCCTTCAAACTCCCTAATTGCAGGAAGGAAGTGCCTAGTAATAATGCTAATGCAAATAGTTGGCCTTTACTGAAAATTTGCTATTCATTTATTCAAGAGGAATTTAGTGAGGGTCTGTTATGTGCTGGGTATTTTTCTAAGCACTGGGAATACAGCAGTGAAGGACTGCAAATTCCTGCTCTCATGGAATATACATTCTAGAAGGGGGAGGCAGACAATATACAAATAAATAAATTGACAGTAAGTATACAATGTATCAAGTGTAGATATGTAGTATGAAAAAAATATAGCAGGGCAAGGGAATGCATAGTGAGTGGTGGGAGGTGGGGCAATGGGTGCTACTAGATTTTATTTTATTATTTTTTTTTTGAGACAGAGTCTCGCTCTGTCGCCTAGGCTGAGGTGCAGTGGCAGAATCTTGGCTCACTGCAACCTCTGCCTCCTGGATTCAAGCGATTCTCTTGCCTCAGCCTCCCGAGTAGCTGGGACTATAGGCACCTGCCACAACACCTGGCTAATTTTTGTATTTTTAATAGAGATGGGGTTTCACCACGTTGGCCAGTCTGGTCTCGAACTCCTGACATTGTGATCTGCCTGCCTTGGCCTCCCAAAGTGCTGGGATTACAGGCGTGAGCCACAGCGCCCTGCCAATGGGTGCTACTTTTTAAAGGGCTTATGTGCCAGCTGTTATTTGAGCCTTAAACACCCAAACAATGAATGTTTAATAAAGCATTTTTGGACATGCCAAGGGCACCTCCAAGCACTAGGAAGGGTGATAGTTCTCTTCATTTGCAGAGCGGGTGAGAGCTGGAAAGTGGAGTGGTAAGCAGAGGCCCAGGGAACCAAGACACCTGGCTCCCCTCTTTGCTCTCTCCTGTTGCAGGCAGTGCCAGCTTTGGAGAGGGAAGATGGGTGTTGGGCAGGGAGGTTCTATCACTCAAGGCATAGGCCCCACATATCCACTCAGACTCTTTGGGTCAGTCCTTTGTTCTGGTGAGTGGAGGCTTAGAGGAAAGCAGAGGTACAGGGTGTGTGGAGGGACAGTTTTCCCTACCCAGAAGGACCCGCAGGTCCAGGAGGTTCTTGTCCAAGCCTTGCATCTATTTGTTGGCAAATTTGGAGCCCTATGGACAGTATTGTTTAAGCTACGCACAGGGTTTGGGATCATGGTTACTCAAAGGAAACAGATTTTATGTGTGTTTTATGGGGGAGCTGAGAAAAGGTCACGTTATCTGTGTGTGTGTGTGTGCGTGCGCATGTGCACGTGTGTGTGTGTATGTGTATATGTATGCACATAGGCACAAGCTAAAAGAACAAGGGATATGTCACCTCTATGGCCATGCTGTTTTTCTTGGTGATCCTTGCTTTGCCATGAAACCCATGGGTTTCAGTTCTGGCTCCTGTCTCATTCCAAGAGATAAGCATAGGCCAGGTTATTGGGGACCTCCCCAGTGAGGCTGGTTGGTCTCCTGTAGGTAGGGAATACCAAACCTGAGAAAGATCCTCAAGCCCCAGATGTCACTGCTGGAAGGCCTTAGAGATCATTTGAATGTCGCTAGTATTTTGGCTCCCTGAGGGCAGGGCCTTTGTTTTGTTCCCTATTATAACTCCTGAGCCCAGAGTAGAGTCTGGCACATAGTATATGCTAAATAAGCATTTGTTGGGTAGATAAAAAGCTCTAGCTCAATCCCCACTTAATTTACAGAGGAGAAAGTTAAGCCTAGGAAACAGAGGTGACAGAGCTAGGACTGTAGATCTACATTTCCTTGTCTTCTTTTGGAGTCCTCTCTCTCCAATCCTCAAAACCCCAGAATTTCCCAGGCTGCCAGGATTAAATGAAGTGAGCTATTAAACTTTCCAGCCTGTGCCTAGTATGTAGTAGGTGCTCAATTAGTATGAATTTCTCCCCTACACCCCCCCCTTTTTTTCCTGCCCGTGGCACTTTCCTCAAGTTTCTCTGCAAGGCAATGTCATGTACTCAAGTATTTTTTCCCACCTTGTACCTCTTCTCCATTCACACATCTGTTCACCATTCACTTGCTGTGTGTTAGGAGGGACACGAAGGAATTCAGAGATGACTGATTAAAAGATGACCAATAGCCCTGTTTTAAGAGATTAATCCTTCAAAGTGTATTAATAAAACTAGTGATTCCTAAGGGCAGGATTTCCACAGAGGGGATATGCTGGGATCTCAGGACGCAAGGGGGAATTCTATTAGGACCCCACCTCTGAGTGTCTGCTGTCTTCCTCTCCCACAGTGGCAGATGAAATGCTGCAAGTGTGACTCCAGGCAGCCTCACAACTACTACAGTCACCGAGTAGAGAATGTGGCTTCATCCTCCGGCCCCATGCGCTGGTGGCAGTCACAGAATGGTGAGCATTTGCCATCTACAGGGACTCAAACTGTGCAGCCTCCACAGGATGAGGTGGATGGAAGGTGCCCTATAACCCTTTGGGTTTCCCAGGCATTTCTTTTGGTGATGTGACGTGGGTGATTGACAAGAAGAAACTTTCTGCCTCATATTTGAGGTCCGTTGGGTGTTATGGTAGAAGAATTTATTGGAGGTGAAGGAAAGGGTATGAGGAGAGAGGAATGTCTTTATTTCCCTCCACTCGGTCTCAGTGGGTGGGCTTGCAGAATTAAGCTTTGGGAACAAGTCTGTGTGGAACAGACGAGTTGAAGCCCTCCAAAGTATTGAAGACATCAGGTGATGGTGGGAAGGAAACTTAGCCCAAAACAGATAGGATCTTGAATAGATAACATAAGCAGAAACATACCACTTCCCACTCCTCTCCAAGAGGGAGTCTGGAAAATCAAGGTTAGAGAGTTTCTGACTTCCTCGAGCTAGTCTAGTCCAGGGCTTCCTTCAGGGCTGGGGAAGTGGAAAGTCTCTGGCTGACAGTTTCTACTTTTTGTCCTTCCAGATGTGAACCCTGTCTCTCTGCAGCTGGACCTGGACAGGAGATTCCAGCTTCAGGAAGTCATGATGGAGTTCCAGGTGTGCCTCCTGGGGGTGGCAGCGGATAGGAGAGTGGCTCCTGGGCCATATGGGCATGGAGCCATGGGGGAGCACAGTGTCCTTGTCTCTCTAGGCTGGGGCAACACTCACCATGAGCCTATATAATGGTGACAGCAAAGGACTTGGTCCTGGGTGAACAGTGGCACCTCCAGGCTCCCTATCTTGGTCGTGCAGTGGTTGCATATCTTCTTCCTCTCTCATTCTCCACCCTCAACCCATCTAATTAATTCAGGTCTGCCAAGTACCAATTCTACTGGGCCCAGTTGCTTGTTGTACATTTGTGTATTCTTGGTATACTCTGTTTTAATAACTTTGCATATTAGATTGAGTTTAACAAGCAGCCAAGAACTTGCCTATCCAACTAACTGATGGATGTTCCTTTGGAACAGCTCTCTTGGTGGGCAATCTACTCATTCAGTGCCATTACTTCTCAAAGCACTTTCAGATTCTGCCTTTAGAACAGCCTTCTAGATACTTCTTTTGGAGGAAACATTTTCATTTAATTGCCATAGGTCAATTTTTTCTTTTCAGAGATGATTTGGTTTTATTCTTTCTACAGAAATAGTCAGATATTCAATGATCAAATTTGGTTAATAAGATTAAATGATTAGGAAGGGAGATATAACTTTCAGGAGTTAAAATGAGCTTGGAATAAAAAGTAATAAGACCTAATTTCTTACATGACTGAAGAAGTTGGCTCTAAGAGCCTCGCCCCATCTAAAGGTCAAAGGTATTTTGAGAAATGCAAGTATCGTTTGAATAAATGCCCAGTCTCTAAAGGTGGCAACTTTGAAGGGCAGCATATTCATTTGGATGGACAGTGTTAAATAGTCTCCTTACTTTATCATCACTCACCTGTTCATTTATTTGTCAATTATTTGTGAGCACTTACTAAACACTGATTACATGGCAGGCTTGGTGTCAGATGTTAGGGATATAAAGATGAATAAAACCAAATCACAATCTTCAAGCAGCTTTCACCATATGTGGGGAAGTCAGTAGTGAGAGAGTGCAATGTGTGCACAATATTGGTAGGAAGAGGTACTGGGAGCCCATGACGGGGCTCTCACATGGTCTGTCTTGGGAGGGCCTGTCAGGGAGTACACCCAGGGGAAGATGAACTTTCGTAGACCAGTAATGGCCAGGTGAAGGGCAATGTTTATTCCAAGCAAACAGAACCATAAACACAAAGACCAGGATGCAGGCAGCAAGAAGGTGAGGTATATGATTGGGGCTGGGGGCAAGGGAATGCACACAGGGCCTGGAGGGTAAAATGTGCTTGGTGGCAAGAGATGGGGATGTGGAGGGCTGAAGACTGCTGCGAGATGAGTTTCCAGGTACACACAGAGGGAGGGGAGCAGACTGAAGATTCACCATTCATTCAACAAATGTGTGCTAAACACCGATGTGCTAGGTGTTGGGGGTCCACCTGTGAACCACAGACAATAGGGGCTACAGCCTGGTATACTGAGTCTCAACCAGGGGCACTATTTTGCCCTCCCCTCTCCCGCAGGGGGTAGCTGACAATTTCTGGAGACACTTTTGGTTGTCATAACTATGGGTATGTAATGATATCTGGTGGGTAGAAGTCAAGGATGCTGTTCACCAGGCTGCAGTGCACAGGACAGCTCCTAGGACTAAGATTTCCCCAACTCAATACTATAACAGTGAGAATGGTTGAGAAATCCTGGCCTCATGGGAAAAGAATAAAAAGCAAGAAACCAACAAGTAAATAATTGGAAATCGTGGTGACGTTTCTGAAGGAAACAAGATGCTGAAATAGAAAATAATGGGGCAGGGTGGGGTGGGCCAGCCATGAGCAGGAGAACACACTTCAGTCAGGTATCAAAAGATCTGTACCAGGAAATGACATTTAAGCTGAGAACAAAAGATGAGAGGGAACCTACCAGCGGGAGGAGCATCCCAAGTAGGAAGACTGGACAAAGGCTCTGAGGAGGGACTGAGCTTGGTTTAGGGCTTGAAGAGAGGAGGTGGCCTGAGAGGAGGCAGGGCCCAGGGAGCCTGGGGCCTATTCACTCATGGTCAGAAGTTCAGATTTCATTCCAGAATAGTATTGGAGGATTTTTAGCAGAGGATTGACAAGGCCCATTTTATGTTTTAAGAAGATGACCAGCCTGGCCAACATGGCAAAACCCTGTCTCTGCTAAAAATATGAAGATTAGCTCGGCCCGGTGGCTGACACCTGTAATCTCAGCACTTTGGGAGGCCGAGGCGGGTGGATCACTTGAGGTCAGGAGTTCGAGACCAGCCTGGCCAACATGGCGAAACCCTGTCTCTACTAAAAATACAAAAATTAGCAGAGCATGGAGGTGTACACCTGTAATTCCAGCTACTCAGGAGGCTGAGACATGAGAATCGCTGGAACCTTGGAGGTGGAGGTTGCAGTGAGCCGAGATCACACCACTGCACTCCAGCCTGAGTGATGGAGTGAGACTCTGTCTCAAAAAAAAAAAAAAAAAAAGAAAAAAAGAAATGACTGAGTAAGAGTGAACGTGGGGAAAGGGGAAATCAGATGAAGCTTACTAGGGAGATCAGGCAGGAGGGAACCCTGAAGCTGGAGAGACAGGCCTGGGCCTGGTTCAGTGTTTGCTTTGGAAGCTGAGTTTATAGACCTGCAGTTCCAGGAAGTTGTTCAAGCTTGGAACTGTCAGCATAAAGACCACATTTAAAGCCACCCAAAATGGATGAAATCATTTTGTAGGAAGGAGCAGGGACTCAATATGTCATGCTAAGGTGCTCAGATTATATCATGAGATCAGTGCAGACTGATTGAAGCTCTCAAAGATCAGATAATCACCCGGGAAGAGCTCTCTGGTAAGTGGGGAACGTGGTTTGGAGGGCCAGGACAGAGGAGGCTGGACACGAGTTCCAGGAGGGGAGACAGAGAGAGAGAGAGAGAGAGAGAGAGAGAGAGAGAGAGAGACAATGGTGAGCTGTGGGAAGTGTAGGAGCAGGGGAATGTCTAGCCTGGAAGCCTGGAAGCCTGGTAAGCTGAGCTAGGGATCACTCCTTCTGGAAGGCAGATCCTGGGGAGAAACTTCTGTGGCCTGTGGTATGCCAGGAGGTTTGGACCTGGACGCTCCTGAGCCCACTTGCTCCCGCTGGGCTCCCTTTCTTCCCAGTTCACTGGAGGAGCCTGTCTCTCTGCTTGTGTCTCCATGGGTCACAGCCCCAGCGCCTCCCCTCTGCACACTGCCCCTGTCTCCGCAGGGGCCCATGCCCGCCGGCATGCTGATTGAGCGCTCCTCAGACTTCGGTAAGACCTGGCGAGTGTACCAGTACCTGGCTGCTGACTGCACCTCCACCTTCCCTCGGGTCCGCCAGGGCCGGCCTCAGAGCTGGCAGGATGTTCGGTGCCAGTCCCTGCCCCAGAGGCCTAATGTGCGCCTAAATGGGGGGAAGGTAGGTAGAGGGAATCCTGAAAACTAGGCCTGGGGAGAAGTCCCTGATGTCCCACTGTTCACACAGCCACATGGACTCTTGAGAAGGAATGGAAACATCCTTGCCAGCTCCCCTTGCTGACTTTCTTGAATTCCCCCCAGTAATGACCCCTGTGGCCACCCTCAAAACATTTGCTGCTTATCCTCTTTCTGAGGAGGGATATTTCAGAAAGACCTTGGGGCCACTGCATTACTCACCCCTGCTCTCTTACTCACCCATGCCCTCTTCCACAGCCCCCTCCCCCGTGACTCATTGTCTCATCCCTCTAGTGGGAAGATGAAATCGACCCTACTTTGGTGTGAGGATTTTGGGATGGCTAGTTAGATGCAAGAGCAAATTACACAAATTTCATTTCACCTTGGTAGGGTTTAACACAAAAATAAACATTTTCAGTTTAATCCCTCCATCTAACCCAGTCTTAGCCCTTGGAGGGAATTCTGGTATAACCCAGAGCCCGAATTCTCCTGAGCTTAAACCCTGAGCTAGAAGTAAGAACCTGCCTGAAAAAACATTCAGAATGTTTCTCCCTAAGTCCTCCTGACATGATCAAATTCTTTCATAACTGCTTTTCCCCATCCCCTGGCAGAGGAGGCTATAGTTTCTCTTCTCCTTTCCCTGGCCGAGACACAAGTGAGCCCTCAGAGCTGCTCTCATGTGGACCAACACTCAGAGTGGGGCCCTCTCTGCGGACCATGCATCTCTTCCTTTGGGTTTAGCAGTTCCTCCTTGGTTATACCCTTACCCAAATCTATGTTAACCACATTCTTCACACAGCAGATCAGAACGCAGGACTGTTTCCTAACTTGTGGAGGGCGGATGTGAAAACTCTTCCTGGGATATGTAGATGATGAATCGTTTTTTTAAAAAAAGTAAATCAAAAGCATAGTTGAAATTGGGATTGTCCAGAGTGCTGTGGTCACCCACATTCATGCATCCTTGGATTTTAGATTTCTCACTCATCCTGAGTCATGAGAAAATTAGTATCTCCTAAACCCTCATATATAGGTGATACATCTTACCATACTTTTTGACCCAGGGAACTCAGGAAATTCTTAGGATACTTATATTTTCAACTGGGGGGCAGGGTGTACACACACACACACACATACACACACACATTTATGGCCCAGTGATCATCTTGTTCCCCCAAAGCAGCTGACAAGCCTCATAACCATGGTCTGTCTCAGGTTCCAGGTAACAAGGACTTCAAATGTGAGGCATATAATGGAAAGGAAGGTTTCTTCTGAGCTTGAGGCACACTATTTGTCTCTTCTTAAGTGCTTCTCTTTCCCTTCTCTCTGTAGGTCCAACTTAACCTTATGGATTTAGCATCTGGGATTCCAGCAACTCAAAGTAAAAAAATTCAAGGTCAGTGTGGCCCCTCCTCTTGTCCATGGAACTATGAGTGGGAAAGGAAACAGAGTTGGAACCCAGGTCATGGGAATTTCCTGGTTTTTCATGTTTTTGTCAACGTGGTTGGGGATTTAATACTTGCCCTGTTTGCCCCATAGGGACATTGTCTGTGGGATGCTGTGGGATGGTTGAGGTCTGGAGAGGATGGCCCATGGTATCACATATGAAGGAGACTCTATGTGCCTCTAACTTCCTTTCTTTATTTTCCATTCTCCAACCCCTCCCTCCTTGCTGTTTGGTCCTCTCAGAGCTGGGGGAGATCACAAACTTGAGAGTCAACTTCACCAGGCTGGCCCCTGTGCCCCAGAGGGGCTACCACCCTCCCAGCGCCTACTATGCCGTGTCCCAGCTCCGTCTGCAGGGGAGCTGCTTCTGTCACGGCCATGCTGACCGCTGCGCCCCCAAGCCTGGGGCCTCTGCTGGCCCCTCCACCACCGTGCAGGTGACAGCCTAGGGTGGGAAGGGGAGAGGAAGGGGGCAGGACCAGGGCAGACTACGGACATTCTTGGGGCTCCCATAAAGCAGGAAGGGCACTAAATCTAAAACTTGGGTACTTAATACTTCAGCAGCAACAACAAAAAATCTAAGTGGTTTTCGTTCCAAAAATCAGAATCGTTTAGTACTTCTTTAGACCTGCTTCCTGATTTGAGATGATTTTCATTTCATTTACATAAATGTGGAAATTGGGAGGAAGTTTAAGGCAATGATTCTCAACCCTTGTTATGTATTATAACTTCACTGGGAGCTAAAAATGTTGCCCAGCCCTCTACCCTACGATATTCTAATTTTATGATTGGTTTTTAAAGCTCCCAGGTGACTCGAAGGTACTGCCAGGTCTGACAGCCACTGGTTTAGGGATTTTAAAGTCTCATCTAGTGGTGAGATATGGGGGCAGGGTGAGAGACCAATGTTTAGTACAGATGCTAAGTCTACCCTAGACCAGGCGGATTGGCTTCAGCAGGGATGGGGGTTGAGAAGTTCCAGTTTAACAAGCCCTCCCCTCCCAGGGAATTTTGCTGTGAAACCAAACTTGAGAACCACAGGTATAGAAGAGAGAACCTTGAGCAAAGAAGCAGAGAGACCCAACATGGGAGTGTGACAGCTGTCCTAGTGATAGGGGGACAGGAGGAAATCATGTAAGATGGCCTGGGAGGGAAATAGAGGTGGCACAAGCCTCAGCTGGGATTCTTCTTCCACTTCTGGGCCAACTTCTGCCCCAGGCTGCAGAGGTGTGCAGAGGGAGCCCAGTTCAGGGAGTGTGTCATCTGTCAGGGCCCATGAGACATACTCCTAGAACCCAAGGCTGAGTGACACAGAGGGAATACAATATGCTATGAGATGACAGGGAGGGAGGGAGCCACCTAGCCCTGGTGGTCCTCAAATCTGGCTGTGCAGTGGAATCACCACTTTTAAAAGGTGCCACTGCCTGGGCCTCCTCCTTGAGATTCAGACTGAATTGGGTCTGGACCTTGGCATTTTAATAAATGCTCCCCAGGTGACACTGAGGCGCAGCCAGGGTTGAGATCTATGGAATTAGAGGGACCAGGGAAGCCTTATGAGAGAGGTGCCATTCTAGCTGAAGCCTAGCTGGCAGGATTTTGCGAATGAATACAGAGAGAAGAGAATTCTAGGTAGAAGCAAAACCATTGTTAAGGTCAACAGGTAGAGAAAGTAGGGCTTGCAGAGGGAGCAGCTAGAAGTTCAGCTTGCTGTGCTGTCAGCAGGGCATGGGAGCTGAGAATGCAACTAACATGATACAGGTCCTTGAATGCCAGGCTGAAGGTGTTGGGCTTAATTTGGAAGGCAATTAGCACACAATAGCTGTTCTATTTTTATACCTTAATGAGTCTAGTGACAGTACATCACAACAGTTCCATTAGCCAAACAACTGTAGTCATAGATTGTTGGAATATAAATCTCCAGAGGGCCCCACCAGCTTCTGGATCCCACAGTTTGCCAAGGGTTTCTGAGCACCTTCCAAGCGCTGCCTCTGATTGGGTGTCACGGGGGTGTCCAAGTGCAACGAGTGAGCTTGCAAAAACCTCACTAGGGGAGCAGTGCGGGCACAAGCACGTGCACACACACACGTGTGCTCATATGTGCGGAACAATGGCAGACAGTTTCACAGGAGCTGGGTGAAGTCTGCGGCATTCAGAGGAAGCATCCTGGAAGGGTTGGTGTCTGAGCCAGACCTGAGTGGTACACAGAGGGCAGGTCCATCCCTGGGGCCCTTCTTTGTTGATTACTCCTGATGGCTGATGGTCCCCCTCCCAGGTCCACGATGTCTGCGTCTGCCAGCACAACACTGCCGGTCCAAATTGTGAACGCTGTGCGCCCTTCTACAACAACCGGCCCTGGAGACCTGCAGAGGGCCGGGACACCCATGAATGCCAAAGTAGGAGCTTTGGATCACCCCTTCCCTGTAGGGTCTGGGTCAAGTGCTGGCCCCTCTAGGCCTCAGTGACCTCACCTGGGACACAGGGGGATCCAGTCTTTCTTATGTAAATCTAAACTGAATTGCACTGTTACAATTCAAGCTCTCCTGGCTCTGTGAGGATGGAGAGAGTATTTGGGTGACATCCTCCCACCACCCCCTGCCTTCTCCTCAGCCAGACCTGGAGGGACCATGACTTGGCTGATGCTTCTGATTCCATGTGACTTTCATGGTATCTCCAGAGCCTGCTTCTTCTGGCCTCTCCAGTTGCTTTACCCTGTTTAGGACATATCTGGTTTTCTGTTGTCATTTTTCCTAATTCAAATGGCTCCCTAGAATCAGGGACTTTGTTTACATAAATGAGGAAAGCAGAGATTCTTATCCCAGAGACAGGCAGTGACCCAAGAGGAGACCAATGTTGGCAGTTGCAGGGTTGGGGATAGAGCATTCAAAGGTCTCTTGCTTTGGGCCAACATGGCCACTGTTCTTGGGTTTATCCCAACAGTAGGAATCAGGAGAATCAGTTCTTATTCTCCTCTGCCTTCTTATTGGTCATGTAACCTTAAATAAATTATACAAACCTCCCTTGGGCTCAGTTTCCCACTTCCCTGCCTTGATCATCTTGCAGAGTTGTTACAGATGCCAATGAGCTTTTGTGGAGCACGCTCTGTAGACAGCAAAGGCGGGGGTCAGCTGTCAGCCCTGGGACTCTCTTTTTCCAGGGTGCGACTGCAATGGGCACTCAGAGACATGTCACTTTGACCCCGCTGTGTTTGCCGCCAGCCAGGGGGCATATGGAGGTGTGTGTGACAATTGCCGGGACCACACCGAAGGCAAGAACTGTGAGCGGTGTCAGCTGCACTATTTCCGGAACCGGCGCCCGGGAGCTTCCATTCAGGAGACGTGTATCCGTGAGTAGAGGCTCTGGAGACCCAGAATGTCATTTGTCTGTTACTCCCCATCTGCTCTGGGTGCAATAGATCACATGTTTCTGGGTACACCAAGGCCCTCATGGAGCATGAAAACTTGACTGTGAGTCAGGATTTGTGGGAGATTATTTTAATTTAGCTGAGTATTACTGAGCAAGTCACTTAACCTCTCTGGACCATCAAGCAGACAATCCATCAATAGATGGGCTTTATTTGGGTCATAGAAAAGAAAAAAGTAAACATAAGATACAGTTTCTGCCATCAGGGAACACACACACTGTTTGGTGATATAAACTATACACTTGTGAAGAAGAAGGATGAAAGCACCTTTTCCATATGTATATTATCGCCTTTACCATGTTGTAATGAGGTTTGCGATTTAATTTCCTGTTTCTCCTAACATTGAGAACTCCTCCATGGCAAGGATTATTTCTCACATCCTCTGGCCCTAGCACACTGACTGGAAAATCACTGATGCTCAGGGAGCGTTTGTGAATGTAATGGGAGACAACAGGCAGAGGCAGCTTAATATGTCCACAAGAGCCAGCGACTTCATATAGGAGAGGGCCTGGACTGAAACAATCTGATTCGGGCAGGTTTAGTCAGAAAAGACTTTCTGGATGAAGGGGTCTTACATTTTGAAAGGTCTGAAAGAAGTCAGGGAATGGGGGTTGGGGAAAGCCAAGTCACTTTCTGTTGATGTTTGTTGCTGGGAAGAGTGAGACAGAACTGAGTTTGATCCCTGGTTCTTGCGTGAACTTTTAATGAGAACTTGAATCAGTTATTTGACATATCTGAGCCTCAGTTTCCTCCTCTGTACAATGAGAATAATAATCTCCAGGATTACCATGAAGATTCCATGAGGCAACATGTGAGAGTGCCCAGTTCAGTGGTTGGCAAGAGTAGTTGCTCAGTAAGTAATGACAACAAAACGCCTTCTATAGTACTTAGCATATGCCAATATGCTCCCCTTGCTTTATGTTTACCCATTTCTTTCTCTCTCTCTCTCTCTTTTTTTTTTTTTTTTTTTTTTGGAGATGGAGTTTCGCTCTTGTTGCCCAGGCTGGAGTGCAATGGCACAATCTCAGTTCACTGCAACCTCCACCTCCCAGGTTCAAGTGATTCTTCTGCCTCAGCCTCCTGGTAGCTGGGATTACAGGCATGCGCCCCTGTGCCTGGCTAATTTTGTATTTTTAGTAGAGACAGGGTTTCACCATGTTGGTTCAGTTGGTCTTGAACTCCTGACCTCAGGTGATCCACCCGCCTCGGCCTCCCAAAGTGCTGGGATTACAAGCATGAGCCACTGCGCCCGGCCATTCACTCATTTATTTCTCACAAGAAGCCTATGAAGGCTGTATCATTATTTTTATTTTACAGACGAGGAAATTGAGGCATGGAGGGATTAAGTAACTTGACTAAGGCTATGAAATTGATAGCCAGTGGTGGAACAAGGATTTGAACCAGGCAGCCTGGCTCCTGGAATCTGCTCTGAACTCTACTTTTCTTTGTTCCTACTGCGGTCACTGCTGTTGTCTCTCAGCCTGCGAGTGTGATCCGGATGGGGCAGTGCCAGGGGCTCCCTGTGACCCAGTGACCGGGCAGTGTGTGTGCAAGGAGCATGTGCAGGGAGAGCGCTGTGACCTATGCAAGCCAGGCTTCACTGGACTCACCTACGCCAACCCGCAGGGCTGCCACCGTGAGTAGGGGACGCGGCCCAGCACGACATGGGGCAGGCTGCATGGGGCCACCAGACCCATGGCTTGCCCTGCTCACTGTGCTCTCTTCAGAGAAAATCCCACTGCAGGGTAGACAGAGGGGGTGTGCCCAGGCCTTTGCCAGGAGTCCGGACTTCTTGACCTCTTACCCAGCACCAGCTGCTGTGCTACTGGCTTCCAGCAGGTGGCAGCAGAGGTCCGAGTTGGAAGGTGGGACTGAGAGCCAGACGGAGGGTGGGCAGGCAGGCGGCTGAGCTGCCAGGTTGCTGGAACTGGTGGGACAGTGCAGGGGTACTGTGAGTCAGCCATGTCATCTGCAGGGAATGGCCTTGCCTAGTTCTTTTCCCAGGTGGGGCCCCTCCCTGGATGTGTGTCCTCTGGGGGTGAGTTTTTCATGGAGCGTCTGCCTGAGCTCAGCAGCTCTCCTCCTGCAGGCTGTGACTGCAACATCCTGGGATCCCGGAGGGACGTGCCGTGTGACGAGGAGAGTGGGCGCTGCCTGTGTCTGCCCAACGTGGTGGGCCCCAAGTGTGACCAGTGCGCTCCCTACCACTGGAAGCTGGCCAGTGGCCAGGGCTGTGAACCGTGTGCCTGCGACCCACACAACTCCCTCAGCCCCCAGTGCAACCAGGTACGAAGTGAGGGTGGCCTGGGGGCCCCTCAGTGGGAGAGGGGTCCTGAGCACCAGCCTTTCTGCTGCCCTTCCATGCTGCCTTTCTGGGCCTCTCCCCTGTCAGACCGGGCATCTTCTGTCCCCATTCTCCTTTGGGGAAGTCACCAGATGTCCCTCCCTCTGTGGCTCTTGGCTGTCAGTGATACCATATGCAGCACACCTTCTGAAGGGCCCACGCTGGGCCTTGACTTCAAGGCTCATCTTTGAGTGGGAGCCCTTGCTTTGTGGGCACAGCAGCTCTGGAGGTGGCCACGAGCCCTGGATTCTACCTGTGGACCAGGAATCTAGGACACGGTCCCTGACACCAGGGTAAGGCAGAGGCTATGAGGCAGGGTCCACTGACGCTGCTCTCTCCACACAGTTCACAGGGCAGTGCCCCTGTCGGGAAGGCTTTGGTGGCCTGACGTGCAGCGCTGCAGCCATCCGCCAGTGTCCAGACCGGACCTATGGAGACGCAGCTACAGGATGCCGAGGTGCGTGCTCAAGGCCTGGGGGACGCTGAGGCTGTGGGGGCCAAGCACGCGGTTGGGCACGTGGTGGGGGCGTGTAGGTCTGCAGCAGGGCAGAACGTCCCGTATTGATGCACGTGGTGTGGGCCTGGGCAGCCCTGTGACTGCATACACTCTGGCCCATTGGTGTGGCCTCTAAGCCCCTGAGGCAGGCCTATGCCCTGCTGTCCCTGAGTCCCGGTGACATGCCAGTTGCTTTGCTCCCCACTTCCCTGAGAGAGAGCATTTCCCAGAAGCCATCTCCAAGGCAGCAGCAAGGATGGTAGACTGTCTCTTCATTCTTCATAGATGGAGGAAGTGAGTCCTGAGGGCCGAAGGGTGTCATTTCCCAGGGAGTCAGTTTGATGTCACCATAGGAGCACAGGCCTTGGAGTGTGCAGACAAGATTCTGGTCCCAGCTCTGCCCCTGCCTCACTGAGTGACTTTGAGGGAGCTGCTTCCCCTCTTTAGACTCGGTTTCCTCCTTTGAGAAAGAGGCGTGCTGTACTTAACCTCTCTGTCCCTCAGAGAGGGACATCTAGAAAAAGTGGGGAAACAAGAGTGCTAATCCTGAGAGTGGTGTGAAGATCAAATGAGTTAATGTGTGTGTGTGACTTTAAATGGTGCCTGGCACATGGTAGGTGCTAAGTAAGCATTTGCTTTCACTGCAGCTGTTACCATGGTTTTTATTCTAGCTGTGACTTCTGTTATTCTAAGTCATGTAGAAAGAGCCTCAGGTCAGACCTGCTCTTCAGGGCTCTCCCTGACAGCTGCTTCTGTTTCCCTGACCCCCGTCTCTGACTGTCATTTTTCTTGGCCCTAGCCTGTGACTGTGATTTCCGGGGAACAGAGGGCCCAGGCTGCGACAAGGCATCGGGCCGCTGCCTCTGCCGCGCTGGCTTGACTGGGCCCCGCTGTGACCAGTGCCAGCGAGGCTACTGCAACCGCTACCCGGTGTGTGTGGCCTGCCACCCTTGCTTCCAGACCTATGATGCGGACCTCCGGGAGCAGGCCCTGCGCCTTGGTAGCCTCCGCAATGCCACCGCCAGCCTGTGGTCAGGGCCAGGGCTGGAGGACCGTGGCCTGGCCTCCCGGATCCTAGACGCAAAGAGTAAGATTGAGCAGATCCGAGCAGTTCTCAGCAGCGCCGCAGTCACAGAGCAGGAGGTGGCTCAGGTGGCCAGTGCCATCCTCTCCCTCAGGTAATTCCCTTTCCCTGCCAAGCATTTGGAAGAATTATGCTCCGGGGTTCCTGTACGGGGCACACTGGTCCTTCCTTACATTTGTACAGCGCATTACAGTTTAAAGGCATTTTCACAGTGCTCTCTCTTTCAACCATTACAACAGTCCTGTGAGGTTGGTGTGGTTTTGCAGATGAGAAAACAGGCACAGATAGGTGATGTGACAGAGCCACATGGCCCCCGAAGGGCAGAGCTGGGACTCAGAACACAGCCCAGGAGCCCAAGCCCAGCGTTCTTTTAAGTGCCCAGTGCTGCCTGTGGGAGGGAGTCAGCTCTGGATTAGTCACCCTGGCAGAGGGCATCCGAGAGGCAGGGGCTCCAAAAATAACCCGCGTGTGGCTTTGGAATGGAAGTGGTCCCGCCCACACCCCCATCCCACCAGTAGAGGTGCCTTCTTAGTGAGATTCAGTTCTGGAAGCTTCTATAGTTAGTTGGCATTCCCTGAGCACTGGCTTTCTGATGATGCACAGAGCCATCCAGGTGTGTGAGTGGTGGGGAGGGAAAAGGCAGCCTAAGAAGAATGAAAATGGAGGCTTCGTGACTCACGATGTGCTAGAGCCTCTGGCTGGGGGCTCCAGCAGAGGAAGTCAAGCAAATATTGGGAACCTTCCTTCCTTCCTCCCTTCCTTCCTTCCTCCTTTCCTTCCTTCCTTCCTTTTTCCCTTCCTTCCTTCCTTTTTCCCTCCCTTCCTTCCTTTTTCCCTCCCTTCCTTCCTTCCTTCCTTCCTTCCTCCCTTCCTTCCTTCCTTCCTCCCTTCCTTCCTTCTTTCCTTTTTTCCTTCCTTTTTTCCCTCCCTCCCTTCCTTCCTTCCCTCCCTTCCCTCTGTCTCCTCCCCTCCCCTTCCCATCCCTCCCCTCCCCTCCCCCGTCTCCTCCCCTCCCCTCCCCTCCCCGTCCCTCCCCTCCCCTCCCTCCCTCTCTCCCTTCCTTCCTTCCTTTTTTCTTTCCTTCCTTCCCTCCCTCCCTCCCCTCCCCTCCCTTCCGCCTCCCTCCCTCCCTCCCTTCCTTCCTTCCTTTTTTCCTTCCTTCCTTTTTTCTTCCCTCCCTCCCCTCCCCTCTCCTCCCCCCTCCCTTCCTTCCTCCCTTCCTTCCTCCTTTCCTTCCTCCCTTCCTTCCTTCCTCCCTTCCTTCCTTCCTTTTTTCCTTCCTTCCTTTTTTCTTTCCTCCCTCCCCTCCCCTCCCCTCTCCTCCCATCCTCCCTCCCCCCTCCCTCTCTCCCTCCCCGCCTCCCTCCCTCCCCCCTTTCCTTCCTTCCTTCCTTCCTTCCTTCCTTCCTTCCTTCCTTCCTTCCTTCCTTCCTTCCTTCCTTCCTCTCTTTCTCTCTTTCTTTCTCTTTACATAATTTTAGAGCATCTATTATGAACCAAGCATTGCACAAGGCATCGGGGATATTGAAATTAATATGACATGGTCTTTGCCCTCGAGAAGCTTGCACTGGGGAGAATGATGTGTAAATGGTAAACTATAATGTGACACATGTTATAACGTATCATGGCAGGCTTCACAGAGGTGCCTTCTGAACTAAGTCTCAGATTCGGGCAGTCAGTCCACCAGGTTCAGTAGGTTGGAAACACAGGCATGGAGGGGCATTCCATGGAAGGGCGTTCTGTGCCTGATCAAAGCCTAGAGGTGGAGAATGTGAGGCTTGGAGGAGGGAGCTGGTAGTTGGGTTGGCGGAGCTGCAAAGGGCACAGGGAGAGAGGACTCTCCAAGAGCTCAGTGGCCAAGGGCCTGGGAGGTGGACCCCGAGCCTCCTTCAGAGGGGATGACCAGCTGGCAGCAGTGGTGGGATCTGGAACTGAGTGGGATGTGTGGACTGTGGAAGAGATTTCAGAGCTGCAGCTGTGAAGGTAGTGGCTGAAGCCAGCCTGTAGAGAGCGAAGGAGGAGGGCATCAGGGCAGTGCTCCTCATGGAAGCCAGGAGCTGGAAGAGGGGAAGGAGAATTGGGAATGTTGGGTCATGGAAGTCAAGGGAAGAGAGTTTTGTGGCTCTGCCCATGCATGGACAGAGAAACGTTGTACTGGCCGCTCAGCCTCTGTCCAGCGGAACCCCCTTAGCCTGTGGATTCTCTGTTCTGGTGCCTTTGCCCAAGGCCTCTGTTTGTTCTGACTCAGTAGCAGTTGCTCTAAGGGAATGGCTGCTCTGGGGAGGCACAACTCCCTCCTATATTTTAGTGTAAGCTCCTCTCCCTTCTCAGGCGAACTCTCCAGGGCCTGCAGCCGGATCTGCCCCTAGAGGAAGAGACGTTGTCCCTTCTGAGAGACCTGGAGAGTCTGGACAGAAGCTTCAATGGCCTCCTCACTATGTATCAGAGGAAGAGGGAGCAGTTTGAAAAACTAAGCAGTGCTGATCCTTCAGGTGAGGAGAGGGCCACCCAGATAACCCCGGGCATGGGCACTGCTGTGGTGGGCATGCCGCCCCCCTCCCTCCTGCTCCTCCTCCATCTCCATTCCCCATGCATCTTGCCACAGGAGCCTTCCGGATGCTAACCACAGCCTACGAGCAGTCAGCCCAGGCTGCTCAGCAGGTCTCCGACAGCTCACACCTTTTGGACCAGCTCAGGGACAGCCGGAGAGAGGCAGAGAGGCTGGCGCAGCAGGCGGGAGGAGGAGGAGGCACCGGCAGCCCCCAGCTTGTGGCCTTGAGGCTGGAGATGTCTTCGTTGCCTGACCTGACACCCACCTTCAACAAGGTGACTTGGGGCATGGAGTCCCACTTCCTGGAGCCCACACCCCAGCTTGTCACACACCAGCTGCTGCCACCTGTTTCCCATTAGGGCAGACCTGCCGCTGTGAGAACCCCACTCCCCCAGCCATCCCGACCATTGTGCCGCTCACTGTGAGCTCAGTAGTTGCCAAGGAAACCAGTTTCTTGTGCTTGGTTGTCATGGAGATGTCTGGCTGTTGGTTTCCCAGGTGTGAGGTGGGATTGGTTATTGAGGGGCTTTGGGTAGCCTCTTTGACAGCCCCATCTCTCTACAGCTCTGTGGCAGCTCCAGGCAGATGGCTTGCACCCCAGGATCATGCCCTGGTGAGCTGTGTCCCCATGACAATGGCACAGCCTGTGGCTCCTACTGCAGGGGTGTCCTTCCCAGGGCTGGTGGGGCCTTCTGGACGGCAGGGCAGGTGGCTGAGCAGCTGCGGGGCTTCAATGCCCAGCTCCAGCAGACCAGGCAGATGGTAAGTGTGGCCAAGGTGGGATGGGCACAGGTAGGAGGAGGCAAACAGAATAGATCCCCTGGGCAAGTCAGAGTTCCCATTTTACACTGAAGCCCAGAGATTTTAGTGACCTGCTTAAGGTGCCACAGCAAGTGCAAGATAGTTTTTTTCTCTTTTACTGGACATCCACACAGAAACTGCACTGGTTACAAATGCTTCCTAGGTAGGTCTTGGCATAGAGGATGATCCACAGAATTCTGGGACTGCTGAGAGATTTCACTTGGGGCCTTATCCCTTCTGACCTAGAGTGTGTGTCAACAGATTAGGGCAGCCGAGGAATCAGCCTCGCAGATTCAATCCAATGCCCAGCGCCTGGAGACCCAGGTGAGCACCAGCCGCTCCCAGATGGAGGAAGATGTCAGACGCACGCGGCTCCTCATCCAGCAGGTCCGGGATTTCCTAACAGGTGAGCCTGGTCTCCACTCCCACCTTGGCTGCTGTTCCAGTCCTGCCTGTCCCTCATTCCCATGTTCAGTGCATCAGCCAGCCCTCCCTCCCTCCTCCCAGGCCTGCAACATCCTGCTCCAGGCCTCCACCTCTCCTTGGCACCATGGCCGTGACCTTGTCGTTCTCCCATCTGCCCTTCCCACCCACTCCACTCCCTCGTGACCCATTCTCATTCTCAACACAATAACTGAAATATCTCTTTTAAAATGTATAAGTCAGATCACATCTCACTCCTGCTTAAAATCCTTCAGTGGCTTCACCTTGTTCTTGGAATGAGCTCTCAACTCCTATCATGGCTACAGAGCCTGGCCTCTGTCCATCTCTTGGGAGTGACCTTGGGCTCTTCTCTGCTTTGTTCACTGGCTGTCCTTGAACATATCAGGCTCTTGCCTGCTTCAGGAATGTTTATTTGCTCTTTTTGTGCCTGGAATCCTCTTTCCAGGGCTGTTTCTTGTCCTCTGGGTCGTCTCCCCAGAGAGGTGTTTCCTGACCATCTGATCTGGTTGTCCCCTGTCATCTCCCATTCCCCTTCGGTGTCTTACCTTCCTCGCACTACTCACCGTCATTCAGTTGTCGACAAGTGGATTGTCACTCCACTAGAATGGGGACTCCAGGAGGGTAAGGATGGTTGTCTGTCTTTTTGACCACTGTGTCACCAGCACCTAACATAAGGCCAGACACAGAAAGGCATCTGACATAGGTGGCATGAATAAATGAACCAGATGCCCTTCCTCACTGCCCTGGGGAGTGAGGAAGGGCTGTACAATGGAAAGATTCCTAAACAGGACCCGGGAGACTCATGTGACATTGGGCAGGCTGCTTCTCTCTTTGCCTCATCTTTTGCTTCTATAAATGGGGAGACGGTAGTATTTCACAAGTTTATTCTGAGGATCAAATAACTGATGTAAAACGTGTTTTGAAAAAGGAAAGGTGCCTCAGGAACAGGAGTTGATATTGTTAGATTTCTGGTTCCTGCCAGGGAATTTGCTTGGCTGGGAGCCCAGTTAATACGAGCCTAGGGCTTGGTGTAATGACAGTGGCTCTTCTTGCTGCTATTACTGTGTTTTTGCCCCAGATAGGCCAAAGTCCCCTCCTGAGTGCAGATGGCAGGTCAGAGAGGGGCAGGAGACTTCTTCTGAGGTCTCATGACTTGCATAAGGCCATGAGGCCCACACCTGGGGAAAATGATACCTGGGAATCTAGGGAGATTGTGCCCCACAAATGTGGATGATGGCGGAGGTCAAGGTGTGGGGCTTAGGCTCATGGATAAGGGAGTCTTGACCCTGAGTCAAGTCCAGTGACGCTGAATGGCTACTCATCCTGCATTAATCTCAGCCAGGGCTCTGACCTCAGGGGTTGGGAGGTGGGTTGGAATTCTCTCCTGCTGGGTGAGTACCGTGAACAGGCTCACGTGTACAGACAGGGAGCTGCCAGGCCCCTTTTGTCGTCTTTCTTATGCTTGTATCTCAGGTCAAGTCTTATGATGAGTCCAGGGTCAGAGAGAAAAAGCAGGGCCTGAGAGAGGCCTGGCTCCAGGGAGAAACCCAGGAAAATTTTGTGTAGCTGTAGGCTCGGACTCTGGTCTCCAGAGTCCTGGTGCAGACGCCTCTGAGCGCTGGCTGCTGTCAGATGTAGGGTCATGGTATGGGAGGGAGAGTGGAAAGTCTGTGGAGGGAGGAGGAAACATCACCTTTCCCAGTTCTTCAAATGGAATTGACAAAATGAATAGTTAAGGCTTATTAAGTTCTGAGTCCAGGCACTGTTCCAAGTGCTTTGCATGTATTACATCATTTACTCCTGACTACATGAACTAAGTACTCTTATTACTTCCACTTTGCACACAAGTAATCTGGGCACAGAGAGGTTAAGCAACTTGGCTAAAGGCATCCAGCTCAGCAGTGGTGCAGGTAGGCTTCAACACTAATGGTCTGATTCTGTCATCCACACCCTATTGCGTTATGGCATGGACACACATATACATACACACCTGTGAGTGTGCATGCACACACAAATACACACTTTCTTGCCACTTGCCTTTGCAAATGTTTTTCCTCTCTCTGGATTGTCTCCCCTCTCCCACCTCTGCTGACCCGGCTAGTTCCTGTTCATCCTCTAGGAATCCTCCTAGGCATCCCACTCTCCCAGCAGCCTCCCTTGACCTATCAGGTGGCTCTGGGGGCCCCTCCCATGGCTACTGTAGCACCTGTGTTTACACCACTCACTCAAAGCTGTACTTCTTTGTTCATGTGCCTGTCTCCCATTAGATTTTCAGCTCCATAAAGGCAGGTATTGAGTTTAATTTGATTTGCAGTCTCAACTCCTCCCATGCTTTTGCTCAATGCAGTAAATATTTACTGAGCCCATCCTGAGACCCAGAAGGCTCTGTGACTGAATGTCATGTAGATTGAGCCTAAGGGTGCAGCTGAAGTGGTGCAGAGTAAAGGAAGGGCCAGATCTAGGTGGGGATGTGCTCATCCTGGAAGGCTTTCTGGGGAAGTTGCATGTGAAGCCTTGCTTTGAGAGTGGGACTCTGGGTTAGATGAGAGGTCGACAATCTCCATGAGGAAGGTCCTTGTGAAAGCTTGCTGCTGGGATAAACCCACTTAATGAAACTCAACCACAGTTATGCTGCATGCAAACCCCCAAGGGACACAGCAATGAACAAGCATGGCTTCCACCCTCCAGGAGTGTCCTTCTGCCTGGCATGGGATGGGGCAGGGAATGAGACCTGTGTGGTCACCTAGTACCCTTTAGGTGTAGAGTAAGGCTGGGCCTGGGACCCCGGAGGAGTTCAGGTCCCAGGACAAATCATCTGGGTGAGTGGGTGCCCCCCTCCTTAATACCTCAATACCAGCGAAATCTGTAAAAGCAAATTGGAATAGATGGGGAGGAGATGTCATCTCTGTACTTCTGACCTTACTCTCTGACCCAGAGTTGGTTTGTAACAACTCTTGCAAATGGGTTGTTTTATGTTGTACCTTCAGGTTGAGGATTGATATTGGGGATTGATATTCCTTTTTCACAGATCAGGAAACTGTGCTTAGGGAACCACTTGACTTGCCCAGGTGGCTTGAATAGTAAAGCAGCGATCTGAACCTGAAGCCCTGTCAATCATTCATTCACTCTACACACATGAGGACCTCCAAGTGCCAGGCACTATGCTGGGGTCTAGGGATATAGCTGTGGACAAAACCCAGCCCCTGCCCTTGTAGAGCTTACATTCTAGAGGAAAAGAGACAAAAAAAAAAAAAAAACCAGTTAGATGAGTACAGTTTTTGGTACCTGGGTGGTGCAAGTGCTAGACAGAAAGATGAGGCGGGGAGGGACGATAAAGTGTGCTACAGTCTAGGGTGGAGGTTGCAATTCTAGATTGGATGGCTGGGGTTGGCCTCCCTGAGAAGGTGATATTCCAGCAAAGACTTGATCATTCTTATTTGCCTTTGCAAAAATGAGCAGTCTTGCCTGAGGGGGAGTGCAGGGAAGGGGTCTTTTTGCCAAGGAAGCAGCTCCAGTTTCTGGTCACTCTTCCCAATTTAGGGCTGATTGTGCATGTGCTGCAGGCATTGTTCAGTACCAGCTGTCTGGCACCACCTCCTTCTCCCTAGCCCGCAGCTTCCTGTGACACCAGACGCTTAGTTGCCACAGCTGTGATGACACTCCCCCACTCCTCTTCCCTGCTGCAGCATGGAGCACAGGATAGTCATCCTCCTACAGCATTCCCAGAAATTTCCAGAGAACAGACACCTGAGTCTGGTTGAGAGGGGGCAGCAGCTCCTTGGGACACCATGATAGAGGGGCCACCATGAGTGCCTTCCACGGGTGCTGCTTAGCCAGGAGAGGCCTCGGATCTCTGGGGAGGTTAGTGGGCTCCCACAGTCTAATGCATGGTTGTCTTCCAGACCCCGAAACTGATGCAGCCACTATCCAGGAGGTCAGCGAGGCTGTGCTGGCCCTGTGGCTGCCCACAGACTCAGCTACCGTTCTGCAGAAGATGAATGAGATCCAGGCCATTGCAGCCAGGCTCCCCAACGTGGACCTGGTGCTGTCCCAGACCAAACAGGACATTGCGCGGGCCCGCAGGCTGCAGGCTGAGGCTGAGGAAGCCAGGTACGGCCTTGGGCCCTGAACTTCTCTCTGCCCAGAAGAGAGAAGTTTTGCTTCTCAACCCCATGGCTGGGAGAGGGGTGCAGAGGGCTGGGAGACAGGAGGGGATGCTTACGATGGTGGGGAGTGGTACACAGAGTCCAGAGTGCAGGTTAAACAATTTGCGGGACTGTGTCTTCCGTATTGGAAACTGCCAAGAGAGTGTCTCAGGCATAACACAAACATTCATCATGTCTGCTTGGTGGGGTCCTGGGGCGTCAAAGCTAATACTTTCCTTGCTCTTTGTCTTGGCTGGGAAGGGTGTTCTTTTGGACTGGTGTGTGAGTCGAACCACACATTGATTCACTATTCACTCATTCTCTCTCTCCTCTCCCTCATGCTTCTCTCACCCAGGAGCCGAGCCCATGCAGTGGAGGGCCAGGTGGAGGATGTGGTTGGGAACCTGCGGCAGGGCACAGTGGCACTGCAGGAAGCTCAGGACACCATGCAAGGCACCAGCCGCTCCCTTAGGCTTATCCAGGATAGGGTTGCTGAGGTGAGGCATCATGGCTTCCTCCACACATATTTGGGCATAAACAGGAAAATTTGGGCACCAGGCATAGAAAATGCCAGAAAGTGACTAGATGAAAAGTGACTAGATGAAAGCTGAGGTGGAGTTCTACAGGAGGGTGACAAGTTTTGGGCTGGCTTTGGGCCTTGGATTTTCTGATCTTGTGGCTGGGATGCAGAAGGCAGGAGTGAGAGGTGGGCAATTTTGATTGTTCTGATTGGAGAGGGTTTTTGCTGCCTGATGAGTTGGAGAAAAAATGGGGATGAACCCCCCACCTATGAGACCCACCACAAATGCCAGATCTCCCTCTTTCCACAAAGGTTCAGCAGGTACTGCAGCCAGCAGAAAAGCTGGTGACAAGCATGACCAAGCAGCTGGGTGACTTCTGGACACGGATGGAGGAGCTCCGCCGCCAAGCCCGGCAGCAGCGGGCACAGGCAGTCCAGGCCCAGCAGCTTGCAGAAGGTGCCAGCGAGCAGGCACTGAGTGCCCAAGAGGTACAGAGAAGGCAGAGTTAGCTCAACGATGTATGGCCAGTGAGGGGGTCCTGAGCAGGAGAGGACTTTGCACACTTTATAAGACCACAAACTCAAATGTGCTTAGAATAACAGAACAAGAAGAGGCTTGAGAATCAATCCAAACCTGGCCAGGCATCTGATTTCTCCCTCCACTGCCTTTGGTATAGCTGGCTCAGGGACATTGGAGATGACCAGTCCAATCCCTTTCCTTTTACAGATGAGGTGGTGACTTGTTCACAGGCCTAAGACTCATCTATAAAGCAGGTCCCCTGACACTGGATCCAGAGCTTGTCTCTTGGATCCCCAGCCTGGACAGATGCTCTTTGCTTATCCTAACCTGGGCTCCACGATTGTCAGAATTAGATGAGAGAGAAGATCAAAGAGCCCATTCTCAGTGTCTCACACACACTACCTGCTCCCCCTATGGCTAGGAACACTGGCACTTTCAATCCTGGCACAGTGACCAAGTTGCTAAGTATACTATGTGACAGCTTAATATCAATATCCTGTGATGTGACTAACATTGTCCTGGGAGTGAGGTGCGACATGTCAAGAGCTGGACATGGGAAGAGGGAAACACAGAAGTTTAAGTCATAGTCTGTGACTCAGGCGTTTTAATAGGCAAAACCAATTCTATTGGGGGTTAATAGGAGGCACTTTCCCACTGAGTGTTGATTTGGGTGACATCAAGTGCTTTGGCCACAGGTCTTTAGGACCTTGCATGATGACAATGACACTGAGACTATTCTACCTTTTTCAGGGATTTGAGAGAATAAAACAAAAGTATGCTGAGTTGAAGGACCGGTTGGGTCAGAGTCCCACGCTGGGTGAACAGGGTGCCCGGATCCAGAGTGTGAAGACAGAGGCAGAGGAGCTATTTGGGGAGACCATGGAGATGATGGACAGGATGAAAGGTGAGGGAATGGTTCAGGGGCACGGACTACTGGCCATTCATGAAGGCTGGTCCCACCCAACCCAAGGCTTCTGAAGCCCATTCTTATTGGAGCTAGCCATGCTATGGGAGTGAGATCAAATGAGATTTTTTCTGGGCGTCTAGTATGTATGAGGCTGGGGAATGCAGAGATGGTCCCATGACTTGACCTGGCCTCAAAAAGCTCGCAATTAATGGGACCATTTTTTCTATTTTTGCAAACAGTGGGGTCATATTTTCTCTTCCTGTTGCTTTATGTTTAAGATGCATAGAACTGTATTTAACAGGATGAGGTGGTCTCTGATAGGGGTTGAATAATAAGAGTTCTGGGGCTCAGAGCATAAATAATTTGAGAGAGACATGTTCAGTGAAGGTAAGAAAAGAAGATTTGTGATGGGCCTGGAAGAATGTGTAGGCCTGGGAGAAGCTGTGAGGAAGAGGAGGGACATTAGGATAAGGGTGTTGGGAAGCAACAAGGTATGTTCTGACATAGGGACAGAAGAAGGTTGCTGAGGAGCTGGTGGGAAAGAAGTGGCATGGGGTTAACATGACTTGTCCCTGTGCCTGGCTTCTAGTGTGAGGATGAGGAGGGTAGATAGCTCAGGAGGCAGTAGGGCACATCCAAGGGTTTTGAATATGATGGAAACATAATGAAAGTAGCTTTCGGAAGGGTTCCGAAGATTTCTCAGAAAGGAGAACAGGGGCTCCTGGGAACTAGAGTCATGGCTGACATGATGATGGGATCACTGGAGTGGTGTATCCAGTGAAAGCCACAGAAAGAGTTCCTTCGAATTTCAGCAGAAGTGTTGGGCAGAAGTCTCGTTGGATAGCCAGGTGGGCACCACATAAAAGGTTGGGCTGGTGGGTAGACGATGAATAAACCTGGGGCCATGGGCAGCTGCACCCAAAGGATGAAGTGAGAGGAGCTGACCTAGGGGAAGGGGCCAGCGGCTAAGTCAGTGCTTTTCCTTGTCCTGTTCATCCAATACTTTGTATGAAGATAAATAATTTATCAAGTCTCTGGACAACAGAGACACCAGGTAACAGAACCAGTATTCTAAGGCAATAGCAAAAGTTCAGAAAGATGGGCTGAAACTAACAAATGAAATTAAATAAAGAGAAAACTAACCTCCTGCTCTGGCCTTGTTTGGGCTTAAACCACAAGTACAGCTCAGGTGAAGCCTGGCTTTTCAGTAGCTAATGCCACTGCAACCACTTTATAACTAGTAAGTGATAAGCAAATATGAGTTGTTACTCATCTGAAAAAGACCCAAGAGTTTTGAGTTACTGCAAGCTTGTTATAAGCTAGCAATGCTTACTGCAGCCCAAAGAGCTAACAAACACAATGCAACCAAAGTGAAGAGAGTAATAGCTTGAGGTAATGGTAAGACTATTTAGCAACTGGAGTGGTGTGTACCCACTAACCAGAAAAGGCTTAGGCTACAGTATTGGAACCGGAAGGTACCTGCTTGCAGGAATTTACCTTTAGTTGCAGGATAATGGGGGAAGATCATGCATTGACCAGGGGTGGGAGGTGGGTCTTGGGGGTGAGTACCAAGGAACAGAATGGCAGCTATTTAACAACTGCTATGGACATATTTAAATATTTTATCAACCTGTGAATCCATATGGGTATCTACTGGCTGAATGTCAATCCAATAATAACACTGTTATACTCTGCTGATGGGATCTCACCTGGGGGATGGTGTTCAAGTGATGGCTGCTACATCTTCAGAAGGGATATTGACAAACCAGCATACATCAAGGAGAGAGTGACCAGGGTGGGACACAGCAATTATATCAGATGAGGAATAGGTGAAGAAACTGGAGATATTTAACCTGGAGACAATAAAGCCTCAGATATGTGAAGGATTGACATGTGAGAACAGAGAAGGTATATTCTTATACCCCCAGGACACAGACCTGGGACAAGAGGTGGAAGTAAGAGGCAGTCATCTTCTCATGAAGATGACTTTTTTCATAACCAGAGCTGCCTAAGATTGGAGCCTTGTGAGGCAGTGCCTGCTTTCTTCCTATTCCTGGAAAAGTTCAGGCTGAGCCTGGGTACCAGCTCTCATGGATGTGATAGAGGGACTCCTGCCTAGAGGGACAGGGGGCAGGCTGGACTGAGTCACTTCCAGAGTTCTTCAAACCTCTATGCATCATCTGGTGGTTGTATGCAGAATGAATTGGAAGAGGAGGGCTAGATTTATCTGGAGTGGCATTTGGGGAGGGAAATTGAGGAGGAATTCTGGTCACTCATCCAGCTCTTTTGTCAAGGTGCCTACTTGAGGATCATTAGTTGGATGGCAGCTGTCTGAGCCCAACAGCACTGGGTTGCTAATCTTGGTGTCTGTGACCTCCTTCATTAGCCTGGGACAACTGTGAGAGCCCAGAGGGTCAGGGGCCCAGTAATAGTTAGGAGTGGGGGCCTGCTGGGTTTGGCCCCTGCCGGGTTTCTAAGCATGGAATAGGGGCTAGGGAGGCATGAAGATGGGGGGGCACTACTGCCTTAGAGGCCAGATTTTTTTGGCGGGGCTTCCTCTGCACATGCTACTTCCAGTTAGCAGGAGGGGAAGGAAGGGTTGGGAGTCTTTGGGAGTCTCACCATCAACTCCTCCTCCTGCTGCTGTTCCATTTGCCTCAGACATGGAGTTGGAGCTGCTGCGGGGCAGCCAGGCCATCATGCTGCGCTCGGCGGACCTGACAGGACTGGAGAAGCGTGTGGAGCAGATTCGTGACCACATCAATGAGCGCGTGCTCTACTATGCCACCTGCAAGTGATGCTACAGCTTCCAGCCCCTTTCCCTACTCATCTGCCCCCTTTGCTTTTAGTTGGGGGCAGATTGGGTTGGAGTGCTTTCCATCTCCAGGAGTCTTTCATGCAGCCAAAGCACAGCCTGGACCATCCCTGGTGTGCAGCTAGTAAGATTACCCTGAGCTGCAGCTGAGCCTGAGTCAATGGGACAGTTACACTTGACAGACAGAGATGGTGGAGATTGGCATGCCATTGAAACTAGGAGCTCTCAAGTCAAGGAAGCTGGGCTGGGCAGTATCCCCCGCCTTTAGTTCTCCGCTGGGGAAGAATCCTGGACCAAACACAAAAACTTAACAAAAGTGATATAAAAATGAAAAGCCAAATAAAAATCTTTGGAAAAGAGCCTAGAGGTTCAATAAGGAAAAATGGTCTGTCCCCTCACTGGGTAAACTCTTGCCACTGTTTCTGTCTCCTATTTGGGGTTTGTGGGGGACTCCTCTGTTCAAGCCCATGGTTTTCTCTCCTCTGTTCCACCTGGCTTGCTGGGTACCCAGATTTAGGGAGTCTGGGCCCCTGTGCCCCAGAACCTGATGGATTCTACCCTTGAGAAACCAGACAAGCAGTTTTCATCTCTAAGCAGCGATTCAACTTCTTGTTTACAGATGGGGAAATAGAAATCCAGGGAAGGGAAGGTTCTGTTCAAATTCATGCAGCTTCCAGAGGAAAGACTAAGACTAGAATCTGTGTCTCTTGCGGTCTTAAAGAGAAGTAAATGGATATGTGTGGGGGGTGGGGTGGAGGATGATATGGAATGGCATGGACATTTGTGTGTTAACCATGGCCCAAGCAGACACTGTGCTAGACATTTTATCTACATTAATTTCTTGATCATTGTTAATCATTTTAATTATTTATTGGTCACGAGGCTGGGCACATCATCTGCATCATTTCATGATGCAGGCGGTGCTACTATTCCCATTGGATAAGTGAGGAAACGAAGGCACAAAAGGCTAAGTAACTTCCCCAAGGTCACATATATGGCAGTTCGGGACAGAGCTGGGGCTCGAACTCATGCTCATCTGATACGGCCATTCAGAGAATGGCCACTAAAGCCAGACTGCCTGGGTTCCAACAGAACTTGCCCCAAGGGGTTGTTGTGATGAGTAATGAGTTAATGGTGTAACTCATGTCCCTAGGTGCCTGGAGCACTGTATACTCTGCTGTATGCACATCTGTATGCACATCAGCTACAACTGCTGGTTCCTTACTGACCCCAGCCATCCATGCACTCTCTACTCCAGACATGCTCAGAAGTCCCTGAACTGCTCCTGACTTTGAAAGAACCAAATGAAGCATCATAGAGAAAAATATGTCCATTTTATTGAGCACAACACTGAGCATGAAGCTGGAGGGGCGGAGGGTGAGAAGACTGGGGAAGGACAAGAACGGTATGCTGGACTTTCAAGGAGAGAAAAGGGAACAGAAGCAGGATTAGAACTCCTGGCAGACATTAAAATAGTCAACTTCCAAGGTTAACTCAATTGGGTGTGTGCGCGGAGGGCATGTGGCCGGGATAAGAATTCCTTGCAGCCCTTACTCATGAATTTCTTTCCATTCCACTTTGGAGGGTGTGGCACTGCTTTTAGATTGAGGCAGGGAGAGGGGCCAGAATTGTGCCAGGAGCAGGCTGGCTGGGTCTCAGCGCGCTTGGGAGCTAATCCTAGAGTTAAGGATTAGAACTTGAAGAGCTCACAGGCAGACCACCATGGACAGCTGCCTGTCATTCATGCGGATGGGCAGGCAACAGCATTAATGAGCCCAATCTGGCCAAGAGGTTGAAGGCTTGAGAGGTGGGAGTGAGTGTGTGCAGAGTGGGTATCTGGGTAGATGCTCCATATGGCTTTGCTTGGAGGTGACACAGCCTGGCCAGCCCATTAAGCTTTTCACGACAAACAGTACAGACCCAGGCGAGAGCTATCTACGTACACTGCACAGAACCATGGCACGTAGGGTGTGGGGGCATAGAGCAGGCAGGTCAGGGAGACCTGGAAGCCCGCAGGCGCTGCTCCTCCTGCTCACAGCTTCAACAAGGCTTCATGCCTTGGGGCTCCCTCACGGGCCTCCTGTGAGGGGCTGCCCTGCTGGCAGCAGGCTGGTGCTTCCGGCCAGAAACCGCTCCTGCTAAGCCCTGCTCTACTTGCTCTGCCTTCCTCCCTCTGCTGGAT